CAGGTGGTTTAAGGGCTTGGGTCCTCGCCTGAAGGTCAATGGTCTGAAACTCCCTGGGCTTCCCCTGGCGAGAGATGTGGCATTCCGCTTCCATGAAAGACATTACAGGACTGGAGAATCTATGGAAGAGTTCCTTTGTCATATGGGGTCAGGATGTGTTAGAATGAACTCATCCACAATGTTTCTGTTTTTGTTGTACTGGTGGTGGTTTCTGACAGAGAAATTTAAGCTTAATTGAAAGAAAACTCCTTTGATATTTTTTTAGGTCATCTTTCTAGTGCCTGAAAAGATATCTGCAAAATGTTAACATTGATGGACAAAGATGTGAACAAGACCGGATAAGGGATTCTCCCAGTGCAGAACAGGTAACTTCCAGAGAGAACAGAACGGTTTTCACTGTCCTCTGTTGACTCAGACTTTAGGCATGTATGCTTACACTTGTGTCTAACATATTCTAAGTGTGCGTAGCAATAATCTTCATTCATTCCGTCCAACGGTGTAAAAAATAGAAGTGTACACACAATATTAATTCACTCAGTTCATAAATTCGTCGTACTTTTGATGAACCACAACGTTTTTACTCCCTTGCATTTGTCACCTCACATCGAACGTGAAGAGGCAAAGTGCAAAACTACCAGATGGTGACACACCGTGAATCTTTCCAGGTTTTCGTTTCCCCGAAACTCCACTAGACAGGAGTTGTGCATTATGCCGTTCCTGAGAGTTTGAAAAGACCTAAAAATAGTGTCCAAACAGTGGGTGTAAGTTCAACTGAGGCAGAGAGTTTTCCAAAGATGGACAGGATATGTCAAGAGAAGAGAAGTCCTTGAACTGTTTCTAATCTGTCAAACACAACGACTATTGTCTGATTGGCCTACCTCTAAAAGAGTAGGATCCTACCACTGTGAAAAATGCTTAAGGATCAATGACACAGCTGATGATGCCCAAAGGATATTGCAAAGGAGGAGGCCAATCAAGAAACAGTAGGGAAATAGGGTTCCAA